CCCACCCCAACATATCACATCAAAGTTTGGCTCACATGCTAGCCACTTTAGTGTATCGAAGTCTGTATTGTCACCTTCAACTTGTTGTTTAAACCACTTCAAAAAGCTCTTGTTGTGTTCAGTGATCACCCACTTTTTAGGCATACGTGGATTATTTCGCTTCACAATGTCTTTATGAGCACTTAAGTAGGGGATGACTTCTTCATTGTTATTCAATATGTACAAATGCGCTTGAAGTACTTCATCTCGACACATTGTCACAACTTTTGCACCTCGAGTTCCTCTACCAAGACCTATTCCATGGTAACGAGTCTTAGGTAACCCTATAGCTTCAACTTCGATAAGTATTTTGTGCAAAACTCAATAGCTTCCTATGCAATATATCTTTGAACAATTGATGCTTCGGGACGATATTGGTTCTTCACATACCCTTTTAATATCTTCATGTATCGCTCAATAGGGTACATCCATCGTAAGAAAAGCTGGACCACAGATTCTAACTTCCCTGGCTAGATGAACAATCAAGTGAACCATAATATCAAAAAATGATGGAGGAAAGTACATCTCAAATTGACACAATATGACTTGCAGCCTCATTCTCTAACTGATCCAAAACATCCGGGTCCATAACTTTACTACATATGACATTAAAAAAAAAGCATAATCGAGTTAAGGAATATCTAACATTCTCCGGTAAGATACCTCGAATAGCCACGGGTAGAAGTTGTTGCATCAATACATGACAATCATGAGATTTTAACCCAAGCAATTTTAGATCTTTCATAGATACAAGTCTCTTCACATTGGAAGAGTAACCAAATGGAACCTTCACACCTCGTAAAAACTCACAAAAACTTCTTTTCTCTTTTTTAGACAGTGTGTGACATGCTTTGGAGGCAAGTATGTTCGGTTACCATGAGGTTGAAGAGCTAATTGTTCTCTTATACCCATTTCAACCATGTCCAAACGAGCATTGACACCATCTTTTGTTTTTCCTTGAATGTTAAGGAGCGTTCGATGATACTTGTCACACACATTTTTCTCTACATGCATGACATCTATACAATGCCTCACATCAAGAACCCTCCAATATGGAAGAACAAAAAGGATTGACATTTTCTTCCATATACCTGTGACTTTCTTTTGCGTCTTTCCAAACTCACACGAAATCGCACTTACTCGTTGATATACTTCTTCCCCACTTAAAGGTGTTGAGGCTGCATCATTTTCTTGACACCCGTTAAATGATTTTTTTAATTTACGATATGAATGGTTTGAAGGAAGAAATCTTCGGTGTCCAAGGTACACTTGTTTTCCTTCCATGTTGTAGTTGATAGTGACATGTGTCTTCTTCACATATCGGGCAAGCTTTATGTCCCTTTGTCTTGTAGCCACTCAAATTACCATATCGTTGGAAAGTCATTAATTGTACAAAATAACATTGCACGCAACTTGAATAAGTCACCTGTGTACCCATCAAACACATCAACACCTTCCTCCCACAACATCTTCAACTCTTCAACCAATGGGCTTAAAAAAACATCAATGTCATTTCCAGGTTATGCGGGACCCGAGATCATCAAAGATAGCATCAAGTACTTACGTTTCATACACAACCACGGAGGTAAGTTGTAAATAACTAACACCACGAGGCCATGAACTATGTTTACTTGCTTAAATTTCCATATGGATTCATTCCATCCGTAGCAAGTCCAAACCTAATGTTTCTTGGATCATTACCAAAATTCCGGAAGATGGAATCAATTTTTTTCCATTGCAATCCATCTGCAGGATGCCTCAACTCGACCATCTTTAATACGACTATCTGCATGCCATCTAGTGAGCTTTGCATCATTTCCATTAGTGAATAATCGTTTCAACCTTGGAACAATGGGAAGATACCATAACACTTTTGCCGGGGTACCTTTCATTACATCATTGTCAGAATCACCATCCTTCTTCTTGTATCGTGATTCCCCGCATTGTGGACATTCGTGACGGTTCTCAAATTCTTTCCTGTACAACACACAATCATTCGGACATGCATGAATTTTGTGGTACTCCATACCCATTGGACACAATATCTTCTTAGCATCATAATTGCGGGTTGGCAATGTGTTACCTTTAGGGAGCATGTCACTCAACAACTCAAGCAATTCAGTAAAACTTTTATCGATCCACCCATTCTTTGCCTTCACATTGAACAATTTTAGTACCGCAGACAATCGTGTGAACTTAGTACAATTTGTATACAAAGGCTCTTTTGCATCATTGGACAACTTCTCGTACACATGTGTATGTTGGAAGGCATCTTGTCCAAGCTCACGAATCATTTCCTCCAGTTGATCATCCATCTCTAGATCAACTTCTTCTTTGTCTTCTACACTTGGCATGTTTAATAATTCACCATGCCATGTCCACTTTATGTAACTCTTTAGGAAACCATCACAAAGAACATGTTCCCGAATAACTTCGATCGGTAATCTTCGCTCATTCAAGCGGTTAACACAAGGGCAATAGAATCTTCCATCATTATCAGGAACATTCATCTTAGCAAATTCAAGGAATTGTTCTACTCCACTCTCATATTCATTTGTTGTTCGTGTATAATTGATTCAACTCCGATCCATTGTTACAAATCTAATTTTCAAAATCAAATTAGCTACGAAACACGAAATAACTACATTATAATGCCTACACGAAATCCAACTCCACTCTCAAAATAACTACATTATAATACAAATCTAATTTTCAAAATCAAAATCACGAAAGAATGCCTACGAAACACATTCAAATGACTAAACTACTTACAATACATCTCTAAATTAGCTAAAGGCACCCGTGATGTTTCCCTCTCTTGACGAGCATTATTACTTACAGATTCAATACTGTAAACCTACAATGGCTAAAGCAAGCACGAAAACTTACCTCTTGAAGACCTACAGAGGTGGCGGGTGGCGTGACGTGCGGAGCGGGTGGGGAGAAACGTATCACGGGCGACGGACACCAACGACGGTAGCGGCAGGCGGCACGACATACGGCGTTGGCAAGTGGCGTGACGAGCAAATGTGGGTGCGGAGAAACGTACACGGGCGAACGGGGAGCTCTGCTATGGGTGAGCTGATGAAATGAAATGGAGCGTAGGGAGAAACGTACACAGGCGAACGGGGAGCTCTGCTATGGGTGAAGTGATGACATGAAATGGAGCGTTGGAGCAGGGTAAAACAGAAGATACTATGTCGATTGCCCTAACACCCGTCATCAAAGACACTTTCTATGTCGGGTAAATTTTAACCGACATAGAAAGTTCACTTTCTATGTCGGTTAAATGTTACCTTTCTATGTCGGGTAAATCTTACTCGACGTAGAAAGTGAACTTTCTATGTCGGTTAAAATTTACCCGACATAGAAAGTGAACTTTCCACTTACTATGTCGGTTAAAATTTACCCGACATAGAAAGTTTATGATTTTATTACAAAATTGCCACCGCGCTACATACTATGACGGGTGGACTACGACCGTAATAAAAACTCGTCATAGAATGCTATTTTTCCACTAGTGACAGTCATTAATATCAATCCAATGTCCAGTTACTCGATAATAATGTTTAACAACAATTGTTCTATATAAAAAACAAAATAAATATTTGATAAAAAATACAAAATGGGACTTCCAAACTAATATTATATTTTGTCATTTGTGTGTATTATTTTGTTATGTCATTGAGCTTATTTCATCTTGTTATCTACTCTATAAATATTATTAGAGTAAAATATATAACTCATGTTGTATTTTTATTGGTAAACTTACAAATCAACCTACCTCATGATCCAATTCCTACTCGGTGATGTAAAGTTGTATAGTAAAATAATAAAATTAGCCTCAAACTTTTTTAAGAAAAGCTTAAAAAATTATAAATGTTCGAAACAATTTCAATTCAACACTTAAAATATTACTAAATAAAAATATTAAGAACTAAACACAAACTTGTCAAACTTAAAATAAATATTTGATTAACACAAAATAGGTAAATGATGTTTTTCAAACATGATTATCAAGATACAATTATTCTTAAAAATTCGTTAAATAGTTACATTCTTGAAAGTCTTACTTAATTTATTTTAATACATTATTTTTTTCTTTTTCCTTTTTTTCTTCGTGCATTACAATATTCTCTTTTCAATTTTCACATTATATTTTTGTCTCGTCACTATTACACATCACTTGTCTGAAATTGTATTATAGATTAATAAAAGAACTTAATATAATATTATATTAACCAAACCCTAATTGAAATTCTCATGAAACAATTTTAAAAAATATACATGAAATGATTATTAATTCAATTATCCTTATATATTTTATATATGATATTGATTCTCAATCATATTTAAAAATACTATTTAGTTTTTATCATTAATTATTCTTTAATGATTATTAGTTAAAAGCTCTTTTTTTTTATATTTTTGTCATTAGTAAAAGTTCAATCATTTTTAAAAGAATAAAATATGATTTTTTTAAAATGATTATAATAAATATTTATATTTAATATAATTAAAATATTTTATTTATTTTTCATGCGCTATTAATTACTTTGTTAAGAAATCATGATGATTGATCGCATATTTTCATCAAATTCACAATTTTTTTTCTAGATAAATGTTAGATAATACGTATATGAATTACTTTTATTATCTGCTTTAAAACCACACGAGATATAGCACTGCTAAGTAACATAACAATGGCTCAAATTTCTCATTGTTTTTTTTTTTCTTTGCAATTTTAAAACGATTTTTAACTTGTATAATTGTTAAAACTAATTTTTCAGTATATAAAACTTTATTTTTTCCTTTGAGAAAGAGTTCAAAGTTGTATCGAGCGTTTCCTCAAATTTTCTTTTGTAATTATGTCAAAGTCAAACTAAAAAGATCAAATAGACAGAGAGAGGAGACGGAGACGGAGATTGGGGGAGTGGTGGAAGTGCAGGATAAAGGCATCAATGGCAGAGGAAACACAGAGGGACTCCTGCTCCAAGCTTCTCATTCCAAACGCTCACACTGCAACAGAACAACCCATTTTCGTGAAGGCCACTTGGTTTCCCACCCACTTCCACCTCGCCGTCACTGACGGCCTCACCGCCTGGCATTGCCACCGTACCACCCTTGTCAATTTTTTTCTCCTTTTCAGCTACCCGTTTCCAAATTTTTGCAAACACAATCATCAAGTTCTGATTTTTCTTTTTACATGTAAGCATCGGAGGAGGAAGTGAAGCAGCGTGCTGCTCAGTGGGACCTCCCAGTTTCAGAATACCTGAATTTGTCTGAGCGCTATCTGGGGCATCAACAATCTGGCTCTGTCTATGCATTTGACGATGCTGGTGATGGCCATAAGAGGGTTACTATTACTAACTCACCCACTCACTCTTATCCATGTTAATGCTTTGAAATCCGGTGTTTTAATATATTGTTGCTACTTTTGCTATTGTTTATGTGGTTGGTATGAATGTTGCAGTTGTCGTGGACGTTTGAAAAGGAAGGAATGACTCTGCTTTGGAGATGGAAATGCTTGCTGTCTCCTGATTCTAAGAAAAGTAATGTGGAAATATTGGACTTTCTCATGGGCTCAAACATAAACCTAAGTGTAAACTTCTGTTTCACTTGTACAATGTCTTCGCCACAATGTGTTTTTAGTACGTAATTTCAGACTCACTGTGTGTGTGTGGCATTTACGTGTCTGTTTTATGTTTATCTGTTTGTATGTTTATAATGGGCATTATGTTGGAGATGCCTGAAATATCCTCTGTTTATTTCAGACAAAAGGAAATGAATGAAGGCAAAGTCTTCATTTTTAGGCTTTCTTTTTTTCTTTTCTACGTTTATCAACATTTCCTGTAATGTATATTTTCTTTCCTCTCATCCTAACAAACCATTTAGTTAAATTTATAATTTCTGCTTGAACAAGGAAAATAATCTACTCAGAAACTGTCAGTAAGTGAAGATAGAAGTTTTTTTTTGTAGTGATTAGCTTCTATATACTAGTGGACTTAATAAAACTTATCCATTAGATTTTTAGCAACTTGTAGAAAATCTAAACTTTTCCGTCTGTTGTGAGAAATCATTGTTATTATAGAAAGACTGATTAGCATTCTTATTACTCCATACTTGGTTCTAATCTGGAGAAGGTGCGAAACAGAAGAAATAGCTAGAACTGAATCAGGAAGGATATAAACTCTTCTGCAGTCTTATTTTCCTCAAATTTCTGTCATCTGCATGACTTTATGAGGGAAAGTCTTATATATAAAACAATTGATTTATGCTTGAATCATTATGGGTGGTGATAATATCACCTTTCCTTAAGAACAAAATGGGCAACAGTCTTTCTTATGTATTCAAACCCTGAATATATTTGTAAATAATCATTGAATAGTATAAAAGTAGTGTAGGTACAGAGTGGTGGCCCTGAGCACGTCAAGGTAGGCACCAACCCAGGGCCCCAAGTTTTGAAGGGCACAAAAAATAAAGTCTGTTGTAGAGTCTTTTAGGATACATTATTTTTATATATTGTAGATGATAAGGTTCAGGAGAACATTGGGCCGCAAGAGCTTTTAGCAGATATAACAGCAAAGGGACCAAAGGAATGGATTGTCTATACTCGAAGGAAGAAGAGGGCAAATTAGGAAGAATGGGGGTCTTGGGAGTTTGTTGGAGGAGAGAGAAGGAATGTTTTTTTTCTGTTATTACCTTTTTTGTTTATATCATCATGAATCAGATGGGGAGGGGGGGAATAGTATTTGGCTTATGCCTAAGGTAGAGGAATAACATTTCTCTATTCAGAGCTTGGCTTTGGGACTTTAGAGGGTTTTTCTCTAAAGTAGTTTCCCTTTTTTATAATCAATACAAAGTTACTCTGTTTTTTTATTATTTGCTTGTGCTTATTTACTCTTGAAATTTGTTTTCTGTAATATTGGTCCGACCTGCCGGATTACGTTAGACCGGTAAATGCCACAAACGAGGAAGCTGGGAAGAGGATTTTGGAATGGAGAACCGTGTAGCATCGTTGGAGAGTGAGCAATTGAAGATTAAAGCCTCCGTTGAGGTTTTGAGGGAACAATCGGGGAAATAGACCACGAAGCAAGACACCATTGCTGCAAATCAGGAGAAATTGCTTGAGCTGTTCATGAAGAGTTTGGGAAAGAATCATCAAGAAGTTGGTGAGAACTTTGTGGGAAATGAATCACGAGGGAAGAAATCAGAGGAGGGACCAGAGAAGTCGAGTATTGCAGGGAAGTCACTTGAAGGAGAAGCTCTGGAAGAATTTCGACAATCGATGAAGAAAATCGAGCTTCCTGCATTTACGGGAGAGGATCCACTAGGATGGATTTCTCGAGCAGAAATCTACTTCCAAGTCCAAAATATGAGTGAGGCGGTGAAGATGAGTTTAGCACAGATTTGTATGAAGGATGACACCATTCACTTCTTTAATTCTTTGTTACGAGACTATGATGAGTTGACCTGGGACGATTTGAAGAAGGAGCTACTAGTGAGATATGGCAGAATTGAAGAAGGTATGGTGTTTGAACAGTTGACTGCTTTACATCAGATGGGAACAGTGGAGGAGTACATTAGCCGTTTTGAGAGTTTGATTGCGCAAGTACCACGGTTGTTGGATGGTCAATACTTTGCGTACTTCATGAATGGGCTGAGAGAGGACATTCGTGCTCGTTTGAGAAGCCTGCACATGGCAGCACCATTGACGCGTGGTCATTTGATGAATACGACGAGGGTAATTGAAGTAGAATTCACACACGAGTCTAGTGGATGGCAAAGGATTGGTTTTGGATCGGGGCAGAGGACCCATGGGAGTAATACAGGTCGTGGGGGCATTAAAAGTGTAATTCCACAAGTAGGAACTAATGGGCTTGGCCCAAATGAAAAAAAGGGTGAAGAAAGAAATTTTAATGGGTCTCGTGATAGAGGTGTGAAACATTTAGCATACTAGGACTTATTGGAAAGGCGTAAGAAAGGATTATGTTTCAAATGTGGGGGTCCCTATGGACCATTACATCAATGCCCAATTAAGCAGCTCAGACTCATTCTTGCAAATGATGAGATCCAACTGGAGTGTGAGGAAGAAAAAGGCTTTGACGATGATGAGAATGAGGATGAATATGTCGTTTTGGAGGTTGAGTGCAGCGTTTTGGCTCTACGAGGTTTGGACACCAACCAAATAGATTTTCCTAGCACGTTGAAACTCAGAGGTACGGTGAATGACATCCCTATTTTATTGTTGGTTGATAATGGCGCGACCCATAATTTTCTTTCAAAAAGGTTGGTGGAAGCTCTTGGTTGGGAGTGAGAGTCTACAAAAACGATAAGAATTTTAATGGGGGATGGTCACAAAGCTGAAGCTAGTGGTGTGTGTCAAAATATTCAAGTAGAAATAGAGGCTGGGAGTTTCACTATTGATGCCGTTCTTTTTGAATTAGGAGACATTGATGTCGTTTTGGGTATGTCTTGGTTGTGTTCTTTGGGGGAAATGAAGATTGATTGGGCCAAGATAGTGATGAAATTTGAAGAAGGGGGGAATTTAAAGATACTGAAGGGAATTTCTGATGAGGAACCTTTACTTACCTCTCTTCAAGGAATCTTGAATGAGGAGAGTGAACCAAAATTATGTGGGTTGAACCTGACAAAACAATTGGAGCTTCAGGAGATTCTAAAGAATTTTGATGATGTTTTTCAAGAGCCAAAAGGACTCCCACAAGTGAGGGTAAAGGAACATGCAATTACATTAAAACTAGGGGAAGCATCGGTTAATGTGAGACCTTACAGGTACCCATATCGTCAGAAAAATGAAATTGAGAGGCAGGTGAAAGAACTATTAGAGAATGGGTGGATAAGGCATAGTCAAAGTGAGTACTCAAGTCCTGTCATTTTGGTTAAGAAGAAAAATAATAAATGGAGGATGTGCATGGACTATTGTGCATTGAACATTGTGCCAGATAAATTCCCTATACCAGTGATAGAAGAACTTTTGGATGAGTTGAATGGGGCAAAATACTTCTCCAAACTGGATCTTCGATCTAGGTATCACCAAGTGAGGATGAAGATTGAAAACATCCCAAAAACAGCGTTTAGAACACACGAAGGGCATTATGAGTACTTAGTCATGCCCTTCGGTTTAATGAACGCTCCTGATACATTCCAATCTCTTATGAATGAGGAATTTCGTGGTTTATTAAGACGGGGAGTGTTAGTATTTTTTGATGATATACTTATATATAATGAAAGTTGGGAGGAGCATATGGGAGAACTAAAAGTTGTTTTGGAAATTCTGAGGCAACAACAACTTTATGCAAATATGGAAAAGTGTAGTTTTGGTCATGAGAGCATTGGTTATCTAGGACATGTTATAACACAGCAAGGGGTGGAGGTGGATCCAGACAAGGTCAAGAGTATTGTTGAATGGCCTATTCCATCAAATGTAAAAGGTGTCTGTGGTTTCCTGGGAATAACAGGTTACTATAGGAAATTTATTAAAGATTATGGAAAGGTGACGAAACCTTTGATAGAATTAACGAAGAAAGAGGGATTTGGGTGGAATGTAAAGGCTCAGGCAGCATTTGAGGAGTTAAAAAAGAGAATTACAACAACACCTGCTTTGACCTTACCTAATTTTGACAAGGAGTTTGAGTTGGAGTGTGACGCATCAGGTATGAGAATTGGAGCTATGTTGATGCAGAATCGTAAACCAATAGCTTACTATAGTAAGGCGTTGGGGAGTAAAAATTAGCTAAGTCTGCCTATGAAAAAGAGCTGATGGCAGTAGCTTTAGCTATTCAACATTGGTGACCATACCTTTTAGGAAGGAAGTTTGTGGTTTATTTAGATCAAAAGAGTATGAAACAGTTGTTACAACAAAGGGTAACTATTGGAAGTCAACATAACTGGTTGGCCAAATTATTAGGGTATAATTTTGAAATTATATATAAACTTGGGTTGGAAAATAAAGGGGCAGATGTGCTGTCAAGGAGTATGGGAGATTTGTCTTCATTGGTTTACATGCCTATCTGGTTAGATTGGCAGGAGATAGTTGCTGAAGTTCATGGAGATGAATTGTGGAAGAAAAAAATAGTGGAATTACAACAGGGGCAGTGTGAGAAAAGTGAATTTACTTATAAGCATGGAGTCCTGTGTTATAAGGACAGGTTAGTGGTACCTAACAAGTCTGATTGGATTCCTAGATTAATCCAAGAGTTCCATGCAACCCCAAAGGGTGGGCATTCTAGGTTCTTTTGAACGTATAAACGTATAGTTGCAAATTTGTTTTGAGTAGGAATGAGAAAAGATACAATGAAATTTGTTCAAGATTGTGATATTTGTCAACGTAAAAAATATCTTACTTCTGCCCCAGGGGATTGTTGCAACCACTTCCTAATCTTGAGCGGATATGGGAAGATATATCCCTTGATTTCATCACTGGCCTGCCCAGATCCAAAGGCTACGAAGCTGTTTTGGTAGTAGTTGACAGGTTATCTTAGTACAGTCATTTCATTTCGTTGAAGCATCCATATACGGCTAGGTCCATAGCTGAAATCTTTGTAAGGGAAGTGGTGCGTTTGCATGGAATTCCTATGTCTGTTGTCAATGATAGGGATCCATTATTTATGAGTGTATTTTGGAAAGAGTTTTTCAGGATGCAAGGCACGGTGTTAAAGATGAGTACGACTTATCATCCACAAACGGATGGTCAAACCGAGGTGATTAACCGTTGCTTAGAAACATACCTCAGGTGCTTCATTTCTGACCAGCCTAAGAGTTGGGTTATGTGGTTACCTTGGGCAGAATATTGGTTCAATACCACTTACCATGAGTCAATTGGTACTATGCAGAGTGTTCCTGGTGAAATAAGGGTGGAAGCTGTGCAAGAGGATTTACGGGATCGTGATGAGACAATTAAACAACTAAAGTACCATTTGGAGAGGGCAAGGGATCAGATGAAGAACCAAGCTAATAAGCACAGGAAAGAAAGGAGTTTTGAAGTAGGAGACGTGATCTTTCTCAAACTAAGACCTCACAGGCAGTCATCAATAGTTGCTAGAATCAATCCTAAGCTTTGTGCCCGATATTATGGCCCATTTGAGATCTTAAAAAAGATTGGGGAGGTTGCATATTGTTTGAAGTTGCCATCATCATCAAGGATTCACCCAGTTTTTCATGTGTCACCATTGAAGAAGGCACATGGAACTCACTCAGTAGAGGTTGGTTACCTCTCAATTTGGAGGTAGGAGATGGGGAGATAACTGAACCAGAGACTGTGCTAGCTGTGAGGAAGATCTCTAAGGGAGGAAGGAGGGTGACACAATGGTTGGTGAGTTGGAAGGGAAAATCAAGTGAAGAAGCTACCTAGGAGGATGAGTTGATTCTGAGAAGTCAATTCCCAAAACTGAAGCTTGAGGACAAGCAGTTTCTTATAGGGGATGGCATTGATAAGGTTCAGGAGAACATTGGGCTGCAAGAGCTTTTAGCAGATATAACAGTAAAAGGCCCAAAGGAATGGATTGTCTATACTCGAAGGAAAAAGAGGACAAATTAGGAAGAATGGGTCTTGGGAGTTTGTTGGAGGAGAGAGAAGGAATATTTTTTTCTGTTATTACCTTTTTTGTTTATATCATCATGAATCAGATGGGGAGGGGGGAATAGTATTTGGCTTATGCCTAAGATAGAGGAATAGCATTTCCCTATTTGGAGCTTGGCTCTGGGACTTCAGAGGGTTTTTCTCTAAAGTAGTTTCCCTTTTTTATAATCAATACAAAGTTACTCTGTTTTTTTAACATTTGATTGTGCTTATTTACTCTTGAAATCTGTTTTCTGTAATAGTAGATCAAACAATTAGCTCACTTAAAAAAGATTTGAGCAATATAACACATGAGGATACTTTTGGACTTATGTTTAGTATTGGAAAGACTTTTAAATCTATCCTTGATCAAGACATGAAATTTGTTGCAAGCATCTTGAAATTTATCTAAAATATGATAATTCTTATGATCTTGATGGTGAAATTTTGTTTGAAGATTTTAAAGTCCCAAGCAGGTTTTAACAATTGAATCAATTGAATTCTTTGAAGACATTTAATTGTTTCCCTAATGCATGTATAATCTACAGAATAATATTAACTTCCTATTACTATTGCATGTGTTGAAAGAAGCTTCTTGAAATTCAAATTGTTAAAATCTTATTTGCAATCTACTATGTTATGAAATAGATTAAATAGTCTTGTTTTAATTTCTGTTGATTCTTTTAAAAAAAATCTTGATTATGAAAGAATTATTGGATTTTGCAACAAAAAATACAACAAGAAAATATTTAAATGATTGGAAAGCAATCATTAGTTTGTTTAGGGAATAAAAAATCTCAGGGCCGGCCCTATAAGTACATGGAACTCTCCTCACTTTTCATTAGTTTTAAACATCACAGATATATCATGTTTGTTTACATGCATGTACAGGGCAAAGTTGTTGGAGAAAATGAATTGTTTGAGAAGATGAAAGTGGAAGCTGAGAAGTGCTTAACCCAGAGTGAGAGAATTGCCAATGAGAGGCTGGAATTTGAATCTGAAATCTATGCAAAGGTAACTTCTTAACCTTTGATTTTAGTTGTTTTAATGTCAACTCACTAGGGTTCCCAACATAGTATGGCTGAGCCCTGTGTCAAGAGGGCAGGATGATCCCAGCAGACTGGTGAGGCTGTTAACTGATTTGAAATTCTTCTTGCTATTTTACCCATTCTTAAGTGTATCTTCAATTCCCAAATCACAAGTTCATAATTAATCTGCTTGAAATGTTCAAGATTTGTAGTCCATCAGAGGCATGAAGTAATTTGTGTTCTCTTGTTGGTTTTTTGTTGACCGCTTTTTATATGGCTTTATGCACGAGAGCGTTTTCTGTGTTTGTAAATCTTATTGTATTTTTAATATCTTGTTCTCTTCTTTACCTCTTTTAACTGTTATAAATCCTTTAAAGTAAGATGATTGACTTAGGCAAGTGAGTGTGGGGTTTTCCCTTCATTTATTTTGAGCCAAGATTTTTACCATAAACTTGTGAGCTGTTGAATACTTTAAACACATCTTATGCTTTCAAAATTACGCAGCTTGATTAAGTTTTACTTATTAGAGTTTTATACTTTTACTTTTAAAATAGGCAGAAAAACTCCATCGTTTTTCCTTTTGTACATTCATGAAATGAAGCAAAGTGCCTGGCTGCCAGGTCTGAAAACTTATTTTGGTGTCTTAATAGTAAAAAAAAAAAACTCTAGTATGATATGAAGCTAAATATCTGAGTAAGACATTACTGAATTCGAAGTCTGAAAACTTATTTGAGATTACTGTTTCTCTTACACTCTCTCCCCTCTTTCCATGCTAACCTTTTTCTTTTCCTTAAAATTTTCTTGCCTTTCTTTTCAACAAGGATATATTTTTTGTTAAAATATATTTGCAGCTCCTCTATTTTGGGCAACTGCATTGTTGCTCAAGTGGTTTTCCCTTTAGTATAAATTAGACACTAGGTATTTCACAAAATATACTAGCATATTATACGAGCCTTTTCTGCCAATATTATTTCAGGGTCTGGAAAGGTCAGATGTAAATATGTAATTGCAAAATATTTGTGCTGTGACCCCCAAACATTGGTTATAAATGACAGATGTAAATAGTTTCCTTTGAAAAACTCTTATACTGTATCTCAAGTATTTTGGTACCTATTCTTGATTCGGTTGAAGATAATTTCATTAAGTTTCTACAATTACCCAACTGAAAATATTTACTTTATGAATTTGTCCGTAACTATGACAAAACTTGGACATTGAGCAACTTGATACACTTTACATATTAATGTACTTCTTCTATGTTGTTGACTATCTTTCTGAGTAGATGCTTCTTTTCTTATTTGTCTGGGCGATGCATAAATCACAGGCTGAAGGCCATTTCTCTTTCTTAAGATACTAAAATAGTTTACCAAGGACAAGGACTGTACCAAGTTCCAGACAACTTGTATTATTGTGTTGTGTTCGAAAAGTCATGAATGGAAACACAGTTTTAATTAAATAGGTCGAGAAATTTAACATGAGAAGAGCACCTCTTTCATAAAAAATCTGATTATTGAGGCCAACTCTACTAGCGGAAAGGATGATTTGGTGTTAATATTTAAATTTCTTCATTGTCTTCGGATGCTTTTCATTACGTGTACTGTTACTAATTTTGCATATTTATTTCCGCTTTCCATTTTTCAAAATTTCAACCATCAAGGATGACCTTCCGTTTTGTTTTGTTTTAGTTTGTGGGGGTTTTAAATTCCAAGAAATCAAAACTGAGAGAGCTTCGAGATAAGCTGTCAAAACAAGAGCATACTGAGAAATATCCTCAAGAAGAAGACACAGACAAAACTGAGAGTTTTGATGAAGACAGTGATTTTGACAGAAGTGATGAAGATCCCCAAAAGGATGTTACTAGTTCTTCAAAGGATGTCATGGCAAATAAGTCTTCTCGTCCAAAAAGAACTAAACGGACATAACATCTACAGCAATCAAGAGTTGGTTTCCATCTTGACATCTTTAAAGAAATTAGTTAACCAAGATAAGAAAGATGTGCACCTTGTTATCCAATATCCATGCCTCTCGTATTCCATATAGAACACTGTAAATCTTTGCCTTGTCTTGTGTACAGGTTTGTGTGTTTCTCAGGAAAGTCGCAAAGTTTACACAGGCTACTCCATTGCATGCCACTGCCAACTAAGCTTATCTCACTGAAAAGTTATTTCTCACGGTTGAAAAAATTTGTATAAAATTATTTCAGTCATAACTTTATACAAATTATTCATGGTTAATAACTAATTTCTATTGAGAAATAAGGTTGGTGACGTTAGTGGGATATTTCCTCTTTAAAAAAAAACAATTCATTTATAAAATTGAAACTTGATAATTTAAGGAAGAAGTTTGAATATGGACTTACTAGGAAAAATGCAATTTAAAGATGTTCTTGATTGTTTATATTGTAGTATACTCTCGACATACACTAAAACAAAAATATAAGACATGGTTTAATTGATGTATATTTAGACTTAATTTGTAATTAATCTCTGCCGAAAAATTGACTGATTATCATCAAGAAGGTCTTCTCTTTAAAACCCTATTTGGGTATTGAATTTAATTTCACGCGGATCAACGATATATATATAGATGAAAATATATTAATAGGTTAGGTTGCCGTGTCCATATTTAGTTAAGATGTTTTAACTCTCCATTAAAGAGGAACCTATTCAAGATTATTTTCTAACATAAGATGGTATGTAAAATAAATCATGTATAATATTCAAAATAAAAAAGTACGAGTATAATGTAATATGTAAGTTTATTAATTGGAAAACTGATGAATTGGTAAGAACTCTGACACGGACTAACTTGTCAATCAAGTTACACGTTGTTGTTATCTTTGGATGATAATGAAGGATGAATCATAAATTTAAATGTGAAATCGATTGAATTGAAAACAGTTGGGCAGCATTGATTGAATTCTGAGAGCGTGATATTAAAAGTTTTGACAACTTGCGTGTTGAACTGGAGAAACGACATGCAGGAAGGATGAGGTAGTGACCAAATAAAAACTATAAATAGCCCCTCACGAACAGAGGTAGACTTAAAAAGAGTCAGAGAGAGAGAGAGATAGTTAAGAGTGAGCTAGGATGTCAGAGTATTGCGAAGGTGATGACAATGTTGAAATATTTACAAGATATCTAGTTATAGTGATTTAATAGTCATAAACTGCATTGAAAGCCTTGTGGTTAATTTGAGGGTTTGGATTGTTGTGCTTGTGCAGGTAAGAGTTCATGGCCTGAGCTGGTTGGTGTGGATGGGAAAGTCGCAGAGGCTACAATTGAGAGAGAAAATCCTTCGGTGAATGCTTATATCGTGCCAGAAGGATCTGCCGTCATTCTTGACTTTCGATGTGAGAGGGTTTGGGTTTGGATCGACAAAGATGGAATCGTCAAACAAGTTCCCCGCATTGGATAGAATCTGCCCCTCCTTTGCACCCACCCTTCAAATAAGGATTTTAATTATTTCCAGTTTTATCTTACTTTATGCAGAATAGTAATGTTTCAGAAGTCAACACATTAACATTGTAAACCCATTAGGGTTTCCTTTGTATGACCTACCTTCATACTTTGTTGTTATCGTTTCATTACAAGATGCAATAATATTAATAATCTTCTATATGTAAGCTTAATGTTATTATTATTATTATTTGCCAGTGGATGAAACCATGTAGCTCAAATTTAACTCTTAAAATGTAGGATATGGTGTTGTCATCACACGTGTATTTTCACATGTTAGGCCTCATATCTAACCACGTCCTTTTCCCATAAAATAACGAGTCTTAAAGCAAGAAAGACAAATGTATTTATTTCGGTACATAAACAACGAAGATAAACAGAAATACATTGTGTTGATATTTATTGCACTTTATGTTTTGCATCTAGTCCCCCTATCATTCCAAAGTTGTAACTAAGACATTGCTTTTATTTTTTTTAAATTAACTTTAACAAAATTTGCATTTTTTTTCTTCGCAACTTTTATTTCGATTTTAATATCCAAAACATGCACTATTCGATAAGTCCAATTTGAAAGTAACTTTAAAGTTAAAATATTATGAAATTACCAAATAATTTTAACCTTAAAACTTCTTTGTTAACGTCAAATTTAGAGTAACTTTTAAATTATAAACGTTACGTTTAATAATTTGTTTTTATTTTTTATTTTAATTTGTTCAGTATATTTTTGTCGATATCTTTAATGTTTCCATTAAGCATAAAACAGGAAAAAAAAAGCTCAATTAATATTTTTTGTGTTTACATATAAATGTATTTTAATAAAAAATATGTTTTTATTCTTTTATATATGTTTATTGGTACATATTAAAAATCTTCTTTTTATTTATTTCTCTTGTATTATTAGCTATAGTTATGGTTCAGTATCTATGTATAAGTAACCAATTAAGTTAATTTTACACCTGATTTTGTATACTTTTTTGTGTGAATGTAATATTAAGTTCATAAATAAATGTTATATATATACATATAGTATGGTTAAGATGACGCGGTTAGGTTAGAAATTTAAAACCTTTGTGTTGTGTGTAAAGATCTGAAAAGCAAGAGTTGGAAATAGAACAGTGTTTGCGTGACAGTGTAAAGTTTGACAAATCTTTTCTGTATAAATTTTGAGCAATTTACTTCCACCTACGTCACGATTTAGACTTGTAAAAATGCACCGTTCAGGAGCGACGATATATGAGATTGGCACCAAAACAAACTACAAAAAATAACCTAGATATTATAACAAACTTCTTTCTATTTCATTTTTCAAACTTGACCATAATAAAATTAGAGAGAGTATTTCAATGAAGTTTATCTTATAACTGATTAATTATCTACTATTACAATAGTATCCCCAATCAGTAACATAGATACATGATCTGCTGACATCAAACATGTGTGGCGTTCGTGTCATGTTTTTAAAGGTAAGTACTCTCTATAAGTACGGTAAACAAAAGAAAAATTAAAGTCAATTCAAATAAAAAGTCAACGTTTTACGCTCATACATTATACACGTAAAAGAGCTAGAATGGTATGTAGAAAAACTACATAGAACATGTGTAAATATGATTGCAAAAACGATGAGTTGGTAATCAAGTTACGTACAATTCTTATCTTTGATTTATAAGAATCATACAAATCATATTCTTTGTTTCATCATGGTCATGATTTTCTTTATATAATTTTATGTTTTTAATTATTAACTTTTTAAATACTATTAATTAACGAATTATATCAAGTATCAAATATGTCTTAAATTTTAGGGTGATGTTGATTAAGTTAAGAACTTGTTGATAAATAATTACTGATAAGGTGCCACGACTTTTCAACTTTTGTTTAGAATTTGGAAGCATGTGAAGGAGAGTTGAACTTGAACAGCAAAAAGAGAGTTTCAAAATGAACACTGTTTGGTGACATTGTAAAGTTTGACAAATCTAGTTTGTATAAATGTTGACATCACACGTTAGTCATTGAAAAATAGGCACCGTGGACGGCCAGAGCAAACTATAAATACCCCCTCATATCAACGCATCTAAATCACGGAGAGAAGAATTGCATTAAGAAAGCAGAAAAAGAAAAGAAACGAAAAGATGTCAGAGTGCAAAGGTAATTAATTAACATACACATTCGAGTTATGTATGCATGGTGCAATGAGTGTCTGAGGTTTATGATTTGATATTTGATTTGTGTGCAGGTAAGAGTTCATGGCCTGAGTTAGTTGGAGTGGAAGGAAAGGTGGCAGTGGCTATAATCGAGAGGGAGAACCCTTTGGTGGATGCTGCCACTGTAATTAAGGGATCCTTCGTCACCGCTGATTTCCGTTGTGATAGGGTTCGGGTTTGGGTCACTGAAGATGGAACCGTTTATCAGGTTCCAAGAATTGGATAGGAACAATATGTTCTAAGTTATCCATACACGTTAAATAAGGACTTATCTTCCAATTATGTTATTTGATTGAGAATAAAGTAATGATCATCTCATATACAACAAACCACCTTCTTTTTCTCATTTTTAATTATGTTCAAACCATGTTTCATTTTCTTTTCTGTAAGGAATAGTAACCGTTATCTCTCTCTTAATAATATATGTTCTTTCTACAGCTGATTAATTCAAATATACAAGTCATTCTTCCTCTATAACGTTATGCTCATATAAGACTGAAAATTTGGTAAAATCAAATCTTTCATACCGACCTCACCAATCATAACAACACTCGTGTTCAATATGAGAAAAAGTTAAATATGAGACTTTAATTTAACGATTCACATTGAGTTTATTTGGATCAAAGTTTTTGAGATAACTATAAGAATTAAACTATTTGAATAATATATTGAAAAGTGGTTTTAAGATAAAAGTTCACAGTGAAAGTTTAATATTACACAGATCACACACATACACATAGAGTGTTTCAAATAAAAAACTTTTTCAATGAAAACATAAGAACTTTTCATAGTGCTTTAAATCACAATTAAACATAACTGTAATTGAAATCAAAATCCAATTATAATATAAACAACTTCATCCTTAACATTTCCACCAGCAGTTTTTGTTGAATTAAACATGAATAATAAAAAAAACAAGGTAGGAGGTAAGAAGGGAGGTGATAAAATAAGAAATTTAGTTAAATTAGGATTTGGAAATAAAAAATAATAATAATAATAATAAAAGGTGTAAGAAAAAAAGTAATGACCCAGGGCACAGACAAAATATTATTTCCTTAGCCCACTAAGGAACTTACGTAATGGCCCAATATTATTCATAATTTACTGACCAAGCAAAGAATATTCACATTTTTTGGTAAGACATTTTCCATCCCTAACGAAAGACCGGAGGACCACTTTTGCATAAGCCGAACTAATCTTCATGTCAAAACTAGTAAAGTCATTTTGTATCACTATTATATTAGTAAAAAGAATATTCAGCTGCATATTATGGAATTTTTTGCAAGTTCGATAAAATAATAACAATTCTAATTCACAAAATTTATGCAGATAGAACTTTCATTTACAGAAATTAAACATGCTAATTTATTTCATTCCAAAACATATAAAGAAAAGCATATTCTCCATCTAAAATTCTAATCTGCAACACCTTACATTGGTTCTCATTCATATATCATACTATAAGGTAAGGAGTTAAAATATTTGGTCATGTGTCACATAATTTTTATTTTAATCTTTATAGGTAAAAAATATCGAATAACCTCATGCAACAATATTTCATTGAACACATGTCACAATTACATCTTAGTTAAAGAAGAATGATTGGTGCCTATGTGTCAAGCAATGTCAATTTGATTCTTATAATGTAATAATTATTGAAACTTAGAGGGATTCGTGGCCAATAACGCGTCAATGGCCTTGTTTTTTTTTTTTATATCTTTTACTATGTTCTGTTTCTGTTGTTAAAAAAAAAAAATTGGATAAGATTTCCAAACTTTTCTACTATAACATAAGTGAATATATCCTCTTTGGGATTGGGCATGCAATATATTCACAGACTCATTAATTGATCTTCACGTCCTCTCCATTAGTGGTCCGTATATATAAACATATAAGTTTATGTGGTCTTTTACGTACAAATTTTTCTTTATTTTAGGTACATATTATGGATAGTTATAGAAGATCAAGGTTCTTATGGTTAAACTTTCATGTGGCCGAGCTATAAAGGAATTATCTCATTACCACTTTAGATTGGACCGATCAAAATAATAATACTATACATTTTTTTTTAACTTTAAAATCTTGTAATATGTTTTTTCTTTATAAAACAATGATTTAAATTATGTGTTTTGTATTGAATAGAGGAAACTTAATTAAGTAGTAGTAACGTAAAAACATGGATCCCATTGAGAATTTGGGAGAAAATAGCAGAGAAGAAAAAACTGATCTAATTCATATACTGATCGAATACAAAAGGAAAATCCAATATGTTTGAGGAAGAAAAGAATGTTAAATATAAAAAGGAAAAAAGTCAAATATGCAGTTAGTCAAACCTGCATAAAACAATACTAACAAATGGAAAAGGTACACGTGTAACTAATAGTCTCCCCTCAAGCTGGAGAGTGAATATTAAGAACACCCAGCTTGGAAATATTGTTAAGAAAAGGTGAAGGATCGAGAGCTTTGGTGAAAACATCTGCAAGTTGATTTGTAGAGGAAATGGGAAGAAGATGGAAGAGGTTGGCCCGCACACGATCTTTGACCACATGACAATCAATGTCAATGTGTTTGGTGCGTTCATGAAAGCTAGAATGAGTAGCAATGTGACGAGCAGCTTGGTTATCACAATAGATGACAGCTTGATTGGGCTTGGAGATGTTGAAATCATGAAGCAAGTAATTGAGCCATTGAAACTCGCAGCTGGTGATAGCAAGAGCCCTGTATTCTGCTTCTGTTGAGGAACGAGAAACAGTGTGTTGTTTTTTTGATCGCCAAGAAATCAACGAATTACCCAAAAAGATACAGAATCCAGTGGCAGAGCGACGAGTTGTCAAACATGAAGCCCAATCTGAATCACTAAATCCTTTCAATTGAATGTTGGAATTGGAAGAGAAAAACAAACCTTGACCAGGATTAGCTTTCAAATAACGAAGTATACGATTGGCAGCAGCTTGATGGAAGACAGTGGGCTTTTGATTAAACTGACTTCGAAAATTAACAGCGAAACTTATATCTGGTCGCGTATTTGTAAGATACAAAAGTCGTCCAATAAGGCGGCGATAAGCATCTGCATCACAAAGATCAGCATTATCATCGAAAAATAATTTGGTGTCCTTGATAATAGGAGTAGAACATGGTCGAGCAGCTAGATGACCACTGTCAGCAAGGATATCAAGAGTGTATTTGCGTTGACAAATGTGAATGCCTTGTGTAAGTACGATCAACTTCTAGGTCAAGGAAATATTTCGGTTGTCCCAAATCTTTAATCCGAAATTGTTGATTAAGAAATTGCTTGACGGTGTTGATTTCATCAATTGAATCACCTCCAAGAATTATATCATCTACATAAATGAGTAAAGCAGTTGAAGGAAGAAACATTTTTCTTTGTAAAAAGAGAATGATCAGATTGAGATTGTATAAAACCAATTGAAAGAAGAGAAGTAGATAATTTGGCAAACCACTCGCCTACTAGCCTGTTTTAATCCATAGAGGGATTTGGTTAAGCGGCGACACTGATTTGCTTGAGGAGGTATCATGCCGGGGGAGGGGATCCATGTACACTTCCTCATTGAGGTCTCCATGAAGGAAGGCATTATTGACATCTAGTTGAACAAGATGCCAATTCTTAACAACTGCAATAGCAAGCATGAGTCTAACGAGTGGTAATTTTAACAACAGGAGAAAAAGTGTCTAAGAAATCTACTCCTTCTAATTGAGTGAAACCCTTAGCCACTAGTCTAGCCTTATGTCTTTCAATAGAACCATCGACTTTATATTTGGTTTTATAAACCCATTTACAACCTATAGTTCTCTTTCCAGGGGGAAGATTAGTGAAATACCAAGTCTTATTTTCTTCTAAGGCTTTTATTTCTTTACGCATAGCATCAATCCATTCGGGGTAACAAGTCGCTTGTTTATAAGTAGTAGGTTCAAAATTGTTAGAAATAGCAAGAATGTATTTCAAATGTTTTGAAGATATTTTTTTATAAGAGAGAACAAAAGATAGAGGATAAGAAATGATACTATTTTTAGATTTATTGGTGTTGTCATCTCTTGAAGGATTGCAATAAGAATCTGAATTGTTGGAGTCATCAGTACTTAAGGAATTGCAATGGAAATCTTGCGAGATAATATGGTGCCTTTCTCATTCTAGTAGATCTTCGAGGAGCGAAGTCGGTTAGGTGTTCAATTGGAAATATCTTCTTTTGTCACTTGGAAGAAAATATCTTGAGGATTTGAAAACGGATGCACATGATTAGACTCGACTTTCTTATGCATGAGATTGTTAGAATCAAAAAAGAATTGAAAATCGATCAATGTGAAAATATCGAGTGTCATCAACAATATTAGTTTTAACATAGGGAAATTCATTTTCATAGAATATCACATTTACGGATATAGAAATTTATCTAGAATGTAAATCAAGAGTCACATAACCTTTGGTGCCAGGTTTATATCCAAGGAAAACACTTTTTCTGGCTCTAGGATCTAGCTTCAGTACGGTTGTTATGAATTGTAGATGTGAAACAAAGACAACCAAATACTTTTAAATCATTAAGAATAGGAAGTTGATTATGCGAGAATTTGGAATGGAGATTGGTTCCTTATGGTTTTACTTGGCGACTGTTGATTAGGTAGATAGCATGAACAACGACATAGGACCAAAAACATTTTGGAAGATTGGCTTGAAATAACAAGCTACATGTGACATTCATTATGTGTTGATGTTTCCTCTCTACCCTTCCATTTTGTTGAGGTGTCTCTACACAAGAAGTTTGATGAATAATACCATTTTTATCATAGAATTCAGGATAAGAAAACTCTTTCCCATTGTCAGTTATGAAAATTTTAATACTACAGCCAAATTGGTTTTTAACAAGGATAATAAAATTGTTCAATAGACTCCTAGTCTCATGTTTATTCTTCATAAGAAAAAGTCATGTGTGTCTAGAGAAATCATCAACAATAGTAAGAAAATATCTATGACCATGTATAGAAGAAATACCAATGGGACCCCATATATCTATATGAATCATTTCAAAAATTGTACTGGAAACATGAATATTGTTATTAAAGGGAAGTTTATGTTGCTTGGCCGAATGACATACATCAAAAAAATTTTCAGTGCTATTATGAATGTAAGGAAAATCTTTAATCATATTTTCAATTATCTTGCTAGAAGGATGTCCTAATCTGTTGTGCCAAAGATTGGAAGTGGAATAATTT